CGCGGAGCGGCTGGGCCCGTGAGCCATGGCCGCTGAGCCTGCGCGTCCGGAGCCTGTGCTCCGCAACGGGAGAGGCCACAACAGTGAGAGGCCCGCGTACCGCAAAAAAAAAAAAATTATATATATACACTTAACCAACCCATATGCATATAGGAAGTCTATTAACACTGCCATCTTTAATTACAAAGATGAAATAAGTAGATAATCCATTAAAATTATATTATGCACCATTAAATTCTTTTGTGTACTTTAAAAAGAAAAATGTAGATCACATGGTAAATTAGCAAAAGGACAATATGGAAATTTAAATCCACACAGAGTCTGACCATCTAATGTAAAGTCATATTAAAACTTGACCTTCAATGGAGTAAAAAATTTGCTTATAACTGAAGAATTCCTTGACTTCTGGTTTAAGCTCACATAGCAATTTTCATTTGATGATTTTGCTTTCACTTGTTCGAGAGTTTGCAAAAGAGAATCCTTGTGTACTTTTGTAGTTTTAAACGTCAATTATCTTGCAAAATTCGAAATAAATCTCTTCAGCCACATCTGAATCATGCAGGAGGTTAAAATACATCATGTGACCCTCAAAGCAGTAATATAAGATTTCAGGAAGGAAATCCAATTACTCTATGTAAGGAAGAAATAGTACTTCTTTGGAAAAAATAATTCAAAAATTTTAGGATGTGATTGAAAAATAAGAAAAGCAAAAGGTTTTTTAAAGTTTTAAATTGCCAAGTTCCTAGCTGAGGTACTGGTTTTCTGTAAGCCCACGATTTTGCTGATGGTATGTATATACTGGGCACAGTGTAAGAGAGAACTTACCAATTTTCATCCATACAATGTCAAAAGGATACAAAAAAAGGGTTTTCCTCTATATCTCATTCTCTCATTACTTATATTGACACTTTGTGTGTAAATAAAACACAGTAAATGCAAAATATAAAAACAAACGGCAGTCTCTGCCCTGAGGCTATATGGATGAGAAAAGTGTAAATACAAAATGAAAGCAATGTAAACTTTAAGGTGTTCACAGAACCATTAATTCCCTCTGCACATATCAGAAATATTTCGGATTATTAGTTAAGCTTTTAAATATACATTGTCTTAACAAAAGAGAAATGGTTGGGTATATTCATGTTTTTTTGTTTTTGTTTTTTTAATATTCATGTTTTGATAACCTTAAGTTTTCTCTTTTTTGAATTATGCTATTTGGATCCAACTAAAAACTGCATCAGTATTGACTGTTATAGTTAATGAAAAATAGCCCTGCTATTGTTATTTCATAACTAACAGGGTTTGGGTAATAAGACTTCATTTAAGTGCATTTCGCTGCCCAATACTGTTACTAGTCAAAGGATTTTGCTATCTTCTAACATTTATAATGTTGTCATTCCAGATGACTCAAATGGCTGCCTACCTACTTCCAAAAGATATGGCACAAAGTGTATCAGATAAAGTCTACCAATCCCTGAGTCTCTTAAGAAGAAACCATCAGAGACTCTGGGAACGACATCTTCAAACAGGGTATCTTCAGGCTTGATTTCTAAGTTGAGGGCAGATACAAAATTTCAAACTTTGAAACTGTTTCTAGAATAGAATGTAAAGGATAGGAGAGACAGTGTCTGAGGGTGGATGCACTAGGAGTGGAGGTAGGCGGGATGGCAAGAGGGGCGGCAGGAGGCTCCACTGACCACACCATCTTGGCAAGGATGGGAGGGAGTACTTATATCTTCAGTTCACCTTGGGGGCCCTGTGCTCCTGCAGAAGCCACAGGCTTTCCTGAATTTTTCATGGAGATGTGGACCCATCCACATCCAAGAGGGCAAGCCAGCGACAAATACCAGACTTGCCCACCCTTACCCTTTACTCAAGCCCTTTGAACCTCTGCCCCCTCCAGCTTAGTTGAAAACAACATAGAATAAACTAAAGTCAAGCTGAAGGAGTAATCTCTCCCATTTTATTTGGAAAACTGAACATCATAGTTGGTCTGCCATGGGTAACCAGTAGCATATGAAGGAAAGAGCTCAAAGAGTCCCAGGTTTAAGGCTGACTTCTGTTCTCTTTCCAGTTCAGTGTCCACTTTCCATTAATTCCTGTTGAGCGGGGCTCAACAAAAAGCATTAGCAATGTAGGGCTTCTTGTAAGGGTTATTACGTTTTGAGGACACATTCTTTGGCATCCCTGATCAGCCACCCATCCCCACAAAAAGGCACACACATACACATGCATACACACACACTTCTCTGGAGAATCTATTGGAGCACCTCATTCTGAGCATAGAAGATGGGGTCCTTGCTACACTGAAGATATCATGTAGCAACTAGGACAATCTTTGGACCGTCCTCCCACAGATGCTCACACCACTTCCCCAACCCCCACTAAACACACCTTCTGACACCTCGCCTGCCTTAACCTCTTATCTTACACTCAGGGTCTTTCTTTCAGACACAGCCACTCCCAACGTTACTTCCTGGGAATCTCTTTACAGTTCTCTTTACCCTGAACATTTTTGTGGTGTTACAAAGACTGGACCTTTGAAATGGCCTTGGACCAGAAGAAAACAAAAACTATCCATCACAATAACCGCTTCCCACATTGATGGGAGGATGTGGATAGCTGGTGGAAAGTCCACCATTGTACCCTTCTTTTCAATCAGACCACATGATAAAGACAAAAGCAATGTGACCCCTGCATCTGTCACCCCAAGCGATGCCAGGGCTGATTCTGCAGGTCTGCCCGATCTCACCACAACCTGGAAACTACAAGCTACGGTGAGGAAGACAAGCTTCCCTGAGAGAAGAGACAGTGGTCTTTGACTAAAGATGTACAAGCACTCTAACCCTAATGTTATAAACCTCAATTAATTTGTAAATGTGAGGCGCAGTAATCTGATTTACCTGCTCACTTTCTGGCATATCTGGACACTGAAGTTTTTCTATTTGCTATTCAAGGACTCTTTTCTCAATCACATAGTTTAAACAAAGTAGAGCAGCTGTGCATACGCAGGTAATCTATCAAGTCAGTTATTCATGGAGACACTGGCTGAGGAAGAAATAGAAGGCTTGCAGTCTGAGATTTTATCAGAGATTTTACAGGGATATTTTCCATGCCAAATATTTAGATAATGAAAATTTTAATACATCTAAAATGTGCTCAGTTTTCCCCAATCTAACACACAAAACTAAACAGCACATAGTGATGGTACCAGAGTAACAGATTAATTAAAGTTTAGATCAAGACCTCGTTTGGTACTCTGTTGAATTTCCTCACAGTGAAAGAGCCCATCCCCTCCCATACATACAGTCCGCAGATAATCAGTCAAGTCTCAACCGCTTTCAAGCTACCCCAGGAGCTGGTGATGTACCGATTTTACTAATAAAAATACCAGGTGAATCAGGCATGTTCCATTTCTACTGGGCAATGCATTCATTTATTCCACAATTATAATTAAGCATTAACTATGTGAATGCATTATTCTAGGTGTTGAAGATACACCAATGAGCAAAACAATGCCAAACAAAACCCCTGCCTGCCACTGTAGCACTTACTTTCTAGTGAGATTCTAAAACACAAGTTCCTAGAATTTTAGGAAAAATTCTCTAATTTTCAGAAGGGGTATCTTAGAAGGGATGTTGATGGTGATGTTTCTGAGATGGGCTAGAGAGAAAGGCAAGTATCAACTGGCACACCCTTTACTGTAAGAGGAGAGAAAGCCAGGACTGATTTTCTCCCATCTGGGAGAAGAGGGCTCAGTAGCAGCCAGCAGCTTGGCAATTCAGTCCCTCAGCAAACATTTATGGAGAAACTGTTATAAGATATTCTGATCTAATTGAATAATTCCTTTCTAAGACAATCCACTACCCCCATCTGACACCGTCTCTGGTTTGTAGAAGTTACTCCCCGTCTAGGCATATTCTTAGAACAGTCGGGTAATGGTGGTACAGAAGTAACTGCAATTTTTACTTACACCACAGGTGGAGATATTTCCCATAAATGGGAAATGTACTTATTAACAAGATCAACGATCAGACTGTGGAGCTGGGTCCTACAGAGCTATGTCTACGGCACCCAGACTATTAATGTCAAGGAAGTACAAGCCATAGCCTGAGAGGCTACAGTTGTGCTGCTCTTACCATGACTGAGATGTGGAGGATTCTCAGCTCCTCTTCTGCTGACTCACGCTGGGGTTCTTCGGTTGGGTCTTGTCCAGGGAGGCTTGGGGCACCGTCTTGGTGGTGGATGTGAAAAAGTAAAGTGCCATTCTCCAGCCACTGCTGCCTCCAGCGCACCAGAGGGATGTCCTCCGTGTTCCCTGAGATCTCTAGAGGACAAACACCAAAGGCATAGGTCAGAATTCCAACTGGACCAGTCCGAATCTCCTTTTCGTCTCCTTAGACATTGGTACCAATTAGCCAGTGTCAGATGAAGACAACAAAGGGTTTCTAACTATAGTTAAGTCAGGCTTACTGCTGCTCCAAATCTCAAGAAAGGGAAGAGGCCCTGAGAAGAAGAGAATTATCCCATCAGTCTTTGCACCATAAACTAGTGGCCCAGCCTCTCACCCACTGAGAAAAATACAAAGGTAAAAATTCAAGTTCTTCCCCATATTTCTATGATCAATAGCATCCTTTACTTAGCACAGTTTGAGTACCCTGATGACCTCTTGAGGTAAACAGAAGATTCTTTGCCTCTTGTAGATTTGAAAGTGTGAGTTCCCTAGAAATTACTCGGAGACGCCAGTGCGTCTGCCAAGGAGAGAGTTGGTAATTACTGCGCAGGGAACTGGCACTTACAGGAGAGTCCTGGGAGGTTACTGCAGAGCCACTGGAGCTGACAGGTTATTTCTAAAACCACCGTCATCTGCTGCATAGTCCGCTGGAGATGTCTGATGCTTGCTTCGGCAGGTAAAGTAATGTTTTAATTCCCTTTAATATTCCTCTTCATTTTTGCAGAGCAAAGGGGGTATACATGAGAGGGCTGTGAAGAAGCAGGCCCTTACCACAGACATACGCACTCACCTGCTTTCAGGCACTGAAATATCATTGGCAAATAAATAACAATATACCAAAACCTACTACGTACTTCATACTGCAGGTGTTAAGCGGTGCTGCAGAAGCGTACTGTTATGTGTCCCTTTCTCTAATATTCCTAAGCAATATCAGATCGAAACTTTGAGACATCCCACGACAGAAAGAACCTGATTAATCCAGCTTTCTTGGGCTTCATTTGGCCCTAAGATCATTTTTTCCTTAACAACTATTGTCATCCTCGGAAACTCATATTCTGCTGAACATACTTTGGCAAAGCATCGCTTTGTCAAATTTCTTTTTTTTTTTTTTGAAAGGCATGGCTTCTTCTCCCAAAACTTATCACCTTTGACTAAACAATTCAATACACGGAAAGAAGATATAGTAAGATCTGTTTAGAAAAGTATTCTCATCAAGTTACCACAATCATAAAGAGGAAAGCAATTTTAAATATTTATACAGTTTATAAATATCTTTCATTCTTTGTGGGAGTGTACAAATGATGCTCTGCTGTATTTATTTACTTATGTAGTTATTCATTAATTTATTTAACAGACACACATTGGGCATGTATTATGTACGCACCAGGCACTGTTCTAGGCACTGAGAGACTAATCTAAATGAGGCTCTCAACAAGTTCTCCAAAGCCACCCACTGTGAATGAATGTGTAAAGTGTTACACCACATGCATAAAAGTTTTGTGGAAACAGAAGAAGGAAGGAGTAATCTTGCTTGGGTAGAGGGTGGAAGATGGGAGGAGAGTAGCATTGCCAGAAGAAGAAGATCCTATAGTTTTGGGCCTTGAAGTGTGAGTGGACTTCTTATAATAGAGAGCGAAGTGGGAAATGGACATCAGACATTGATAGGAGAATACGTAGGAGGAGGAGGAAGATGAAGAACACTGGCTGGTCCTCTCAGGGAAGGTCAGTGAGAAGGATTCATGAGCCACAGGTCATCAGCCTATGATGATTCCCCAGCTCATCCTACCATACTACCTCTCCTCCAGGGAGGAGAATAAATTTTGGAGTGTGCAGGAGGACAAGGGTGCAGCAAAAACAAGGTGCTCAGGGTCCCCTTCATTCTTAGCTTCTCTCCCTAATTGCCTGAAGGACTTAGTCATCCTGTTGGGTTGGTAAGCTGTTCATGCTCTGGAAGTGACCGGCACAAGCATCTAGGAAGCTGCGGTGGGCAGAGGGTATGCAAAAGGGTCCCCTGCAGCCTGGTCCTGGTTTTCCCCAGGCACAGCTCCATTTGTTAAGTGAGGCAGTGACAAAAGCTTCCCAAGTTCATCTTTCCTCTAAGGGGTCTTTACAGACTTCCAGGTGAACAGAAACCCTTCGGCGCACCTCCAAGGGTGCCTGGATAGACCCGCGGCTGCTGCATGACACTTCATCACAAGTCCTGCAATCACAAACCCCACTCGACAGCACTCACTCTTTCTAACCACTCATCAAGGCTCCACATCAAAGCACTGGGAAGATTCTTCCTGGGAAACACACCCTTCTCTCCCAAGTCCATTTCCTGACATTACAGTAGAAACCAAACTCCATCCCCTTCTCATCACAGACACAAAAATCACAAGCAGCGACAGCTCCTAATAGAGCACCTAATGGCACAATTAAATCACCTAGAGCAACACACGTCCAGCCTCTTGCCTGCACCTGCTCTATTCCACACATGTCAGGTCCCACTTTAGCCCTTCCTGTAACTATTCAAGAGGAATCCAGCACCTCATACCTCTAAAGCACTCAACAAACTGGCTTTTTGTTTCCCAGGAGACCCTCATCGAGGAGGTCAAGCTCAATACCCCTGTTTTAACTGTGGAAGCAGAGACAAGTAAATACCCAGACCAAAGTCACCCCAGCGTGACACAGAACAGGGACTAAGACAGATGAATGAATTTCTATCAGATCCCCTCCACCTCCAACACAGGCATCAGAGGACATGACCTTCGAACATGCATAAAGAGAGGAAGCAATTGAAAGCCCATGGGGTCTTTCAGGAATTTTTGTGCCGCAGTATTTAAATTTTTTGCACAAAGCCTTAGTATTCCATGAGTTCTTTTACAACTGAAATATAATTCACATACCATAGAATTCACCCTTTCAATATATACAATTCAGTGGTTTTTAGTATATTCACAAAGTTGTGCAACCATCACCATTCTAATTCCAGAACCTTTTAATCGGCCCCAGAAGAAACCCTGTACCCACTGGCAGCCAAGACTGTTTTTGAGAAGGAAGGACGCCTGCTCCAAGGTTCTAGGAGTGATGGTACCAAGGAAAGAACGGGTGCAGTGGGGGTATGGGGAGGTGGGCTGAGAGCACAGAATCTCTAGCCTTGGCTTCCAGCCCAGCCCTCTGAACCTATCTATGGGTTATTCATGGCAAATTCCTTTGGAAAATGATATCCTGATTCTGCCTGGACCAGAATCATCACAGAGGGGAAAGGGTGAAGGAAGGAGGGTGCCATACCTGCCAGTGAAGGTGCCTGTCACTTTTTAGGTTGAAGATAATTACAGAATGATAGTTTCCTCCTTGGCTTTTTTCCCCTCTCCTGGCAAGATCTGACACAGGAGAGCTAAAATGCTAAACTAGGAACTTACTTACTTATGCTATATCTGGCCTGGGTCAACCAATGAAAAATCACACAGAGCACAGTAAATGTCTTGTGAATTTCATCACAGTGGGGCTGAGATCAGAGCTTGGAACATCAGTGTAATCACGTTGGTCTGGATGTCAGCAGAATATCTCAAGAAGAATAAATGCTCAGAAATTGCTTTACCAATGCAAGCCTGACCTGGGACTCCCAAGGAGCAAATGTGGGAGGTGATCAAATAAGTTACTTTAGTCCAAGACCTCCTGAGGGCTGTGGACGAGGCTCAAACAGAGCCTTTGCCAGTGTACTGAATAAAACAAGTGCCAACAGGAGCCTGCACAGTCAGATCTCAATATACCACAGGTGGCACGAGCACCACAGCCATCACCACACTGTGGGGCTGAGATCTCCAGAAAGGTAAGGCTGCCCTTACTTTTAGCATTCCATTTGTCCCATTCTTACCCTCTGTTAACCTCACAGATCTCAGCACCTCCAAAATTCTGGAATGCCCGAAATTTACAGAAACCAGGGTGCCGTTCATTCTTTTTTTTTTTAATATATGTTTCTTTCCCTTGTAATGAGAACTCTTTTTTAAAATATTTATTTATTTATTTTATATTTGGCTGTGTCAGGTCTTAGTTGCGGCACACGGGATCGTCTTTGCGGCATGCAGGATCTTTCGCTGCAGCGCGCAGGCTCTTTGTTGCAGCGTGCTAGCTTCTCTCTAGCTGTGTCATGCAGGCTCCAGAGCATGTGGGCTCTGTAGTTGCAGCACACAGGCTCTCTAGTTGTGGCTCGCATGCTCAGTAGTTGTGGCACGGGCTTAGTTGCCCCGCTGCATGTGGGATCTTAGTTCCCCAACCAGGGATCAGACCTGTATCCCCTGCATTGGAAGGTGGATTCTTAACCCCTGGACCACCAGGGAAGTCCCAGCCATTTATTCTTGAATACACAAAGATCTTGGAGCACACTCTATTTGCCACATTTAGCAAGTTGTGCTACATGGTTTCTACTCTCAAGGAGCTTTTGGTCTAGTAAGAAAATGAAGACAGAGCCATGAATAAGTACTCTAAACCGTAATAGCAGTGCTGGGTGAGAGGGTGGTACTTGGCTGGGCATATACCCTTGGAAAGGGATAAAATGGGAAGAAATGTTGGGGGTCAATTCGAGATGAAGAAAACAGTGTGTGTAAGTGTGTAAAGGAACAGCAGGATGATGCATGCTTGCAGAGTTGCGGGAGGTCTGGTTATGCTGCAGAGTGGGGATATGGAGAGGAGTAGTAGAGGACTGGGCTGAAAATCCAGATCGGTGTCAACTGTAAAAGTTGTGAATGCCAGTTTTAAGGAGTTCAGAGCTAATGGAAAGTCATCCGTGGTTTTATTAAGCAGAGGAATGAATAAAGCCATGAGTAGAAGGATGAAGAGGATCCAGAAAGAGTAGCAGGTAGGCTAGACTCAATCACAGCCCCAGTGTAACTCTGATCCTATGTTCTGCAGGAAACACAACACTAAACTGGAACTCAGGAGGCCTCGGTCTAGAGTAAGCTTGAATGGAATGCCTGGCTTTGAACTTTCTCATCTGTATACGGAGGAGCTGTATTGATGAATTTTAAGATCCTTTTGTAACTTGCCATTCCACAATTCTAAATCCAAAGGGTGTGCTTCATGTTACCACCTAGAAAGGCAATGATTTTAAT